TACACCTCTAGACCTAAACTAAACACAAAAAACATGCAACTTTAAATTTACTCTATCTGTTTATTTAGGAAACCAAGAGTCCGGGGGGGGTGGGGGGAGGGGGAATGTTCAATTCCTCATTAATAGCAGGTCATAAAATCATGACATACCTCAGAAGTTTAGCGAGTCCCACCCCGAGCTGGCCAAGACCCCCTAAAAGACAACAGACGAGACAATCAGAGAAAAAGTTTTATCAAAATACAGAGTTCCATTCTTATATGCACAATATAACTGAGTACTATTCTTCCCAGAGAGTCAAAAAAACTCCCAAAGAACGCCCAAAGAACTGGTTTTAGATTTCTGGAATAAAAGTAGTACAAAAGGTCCACGTGGGACTCTGATCCTATTACCACACGGGAAAGACCATCACCATTCCACGAGATTTTGACAAATTTTAATCCCTCCCAGTTTCAGCATTCTGCTCACTGGGGAGGAAGAAAGGGAGTGGGGAACTTGACTGAGAAGTTGGAGCAAGAATACAGTTATGACAGGAACTCTGACCTGTAATTAGCACCCGAGGATGATTAGACTCAGAAAAAGACACGGAATGAAAGCTAGCATCGGAGGCCACCTGGCGCGGCGAGATTCCAATACATCGAACAGGCACTACAGAAACCCCACATCCGCAACCAGAGCTTTGAAGCAGCTGGCTGACAGCTCTGCTCACGTTTTTGACAATTGGCATCTTCCTCCTTTAAGTATACTGCAAGAATAAGGGGAAAAAAAAAATTGTTAGTCATGAATGACTCAATCATCTTCTTCAACATTTTAAACTCTTTAGCGTATTCTAAAGGAGTGTTTAAGAGGAGTTTGATGCAATCTCATTCCCAGCTAATGTGCCAGCTCAGAGCTACATCTGCTAGAGGCTGCCTATGAAGTAACATGAACAGAGGTGATGTATTACCAGAGTGAGCACAAGAAAATACCCACCGCCCCAGCACAAAGAGCCTAGTATAATGAACAGTGAACATAGAAAATGGTCTTATTTCAAATTTTGACCTTAAACCTTTTTGAAAGTCATTTTAAACCATGATTTCAAGCACAAAAGGAGACTAATACAGAATTCAAAGTTTCTAATCATGGTAGCTGAAACTTGACTCAAAAGTACCTACAATGAACCTGTGTAGACTGTCACAAATAATCCAACCTTCTTATTATTACATCAGTATGACTCAGTTAAAACAACAGAGGCTATGGGAAATTTCTTTAAGGAATACAGCTTCACTCAAACTTAATGCACATGATAAGACAGTACTAGGACACAAACAAAGCAGAACCAGTGTTTGACTTACCAAGGGCTCATGAAGAGTCCTAATTATTTCACAAAAGTAAGACGTGGCTTGCTTACAGTAACACACTGCAAAAATAACCTAAAATTTTCATGAGCTACACGCAAGTTTGGTTTTCTTTCTCTCCAAATCTTTCACAGTGGGAATAGGAAAGTAGAATAATATAACCCACAGAAATTACACATGCTTCCACAACAGGCCTTTTCTACGGTTACATTTATTTCTTTCAAATACAATTCTTCATGTACAATTACTTAAATCCTTCCTTATCTTCCTTTGACTGATTTTTAGCTCTCTGCCCCAAAGTGATACAAAGAGTAAATTCCCAGATGATAATGTCTTTTTAAACTAGCTTGCCTAAGATTACCTTGTCACCTCCTTTCTCGTATGTACTCTCGTTGCACATGCTATGAAGGGGAAGAAGGAAGGCCACAGCTATAAATTATTGCACCAAATATTGTTGCCGATTAATTCTGGCACTAATTTCTAGTAAGAATAGAAAAGCAAGTAACTCACACCAGTGTTCCTTTCACTTACGGTAACATACAAGACTGATAATTTTTCTGATACATTAAGGAGTCTTGCTATTCAAATACAGAAGACTTGCTAAACCATCTGCCACATGGTTAATAAGACACCAAAAAAATGTGGTTTTTAATAACACACCATTTTACATGTTAAAACTGATGAAAAAAACTTACTCTGAGATGCACCACCTCTTTTCTTTCTCCTTCCTTTCTAGACTTGCTTGTTGGCTTACCAATTTATCACACTGGGAAGCGTGGTCAATTAGAAGCCTGATGAATTAGCCAAACCTCTGCTGCACCTCAAAGCCATAAAGTCATTACATCATTCTCCCTGATATAGACTTGCTTTAGGGCCGTACCTCCCCTGTCACAGGGCTACAGAGGCAATTGCTCTAGCTTCTCTAGGCTTTGCACAGCTCTCCTGTAATTCCTTGTCCTAAACCAACCCAATATAATTACATTTAACTCTACCTACAAAGCTAGAGCAAACAAGCTGTTGAGCACTGATAGCATAGACTTAAGTGACAGAGGTGACTAATTGATATCTAAGAAATTATGCAGCAGTTTGAGATCTTTTTCCTGTCCGAATTCTCTAGTGTCAATTAGTGCAATTCAGCTTGTGTTGCTTATCTTCACTCAGGGCACTAATAAAGTTCCTCTCCTCTATGAGCCTACCTTCACAGAACAGACATGTCCTTACTATTTTTGAGACTCACTCCCTGTCAAGTTTACTTGAAATTACTCAACACGTGCAAAACTAGTTAGGGTGAAAAGAGGGGGAAGAAGGAAGGAAGACAGACAGACACATCCAGATCACAGAATCACAGAATCGTTTAGGTTGGAAGGGACCTCTGGAGATCTTCTAGTCCAACCTCCCTGCTCAAGCAGGGTCACCTAGAGCATATTGCCCAGGATCACATCCAGACGGGTTTTGAATATCTCCAGCGAAGGAGACTCCACCACCTCTCTGGGCAACCTGTTCCAATGCTCTGTCACCCTCACAGATGATTTGATCTCTTAAGATCAAGATGTGTTAGATGTGTTTCTCCTTAGGAAACTAGCATAAAAAATATTGGCAATATTAGTTCTTTGTTGCCATGGTAATCCTTTCTTGTTCCAGAAGGGGATACTAAAATTGTTTTAGCACTAGGAGAGCCTCAGATGATCTCGGTTCCGCAAAATTTCCCTTTAGAGTAGCTAAAAAGACATTTCATGTTTTGAAAAGGCAATTCACGTTTTGAGCTCTCGAAACTAAGTACACGTACCAAAGCTATTTGCGACTAAAAAGGCCATGTTAGGATGAAAGCAGTCTCCCACCCACTGGTCTGGTTTCTCCAAATTCACTTGCAATAAAAACATACAGGCTTAAGCTGAAAATTGACTTTTAAGTCAAGGCTGTCTCGGAACAGTAAACATATTTTATTCCCGTCACTGAAAAATCCTTGCATCACCATGCAGTACAGTCATACGCAAGAAATCCACTTACAATATGCATTTTTTCCCCTCTATTTCAAATATGAAGAAGGGAAAAAAAAATTGTTGTAACTAGCTATTAAATACTAACAGCTGCTAGCAAAGGTTCAGATAGTAAAGAAATTAAGAGTGCCACTTAAAAACTTCACCAAACAATCCTGAGACAAAGCTAGCCCTGCCACAAAGTGATTTGCTTTCTCCATCCAAGCTGCTATTGCAAACTTCCTGCGGGACTATGGTTAGATAACTTAAAGGCATTACTAATAGCTCTGAACACAGAGGTATGACTCTTAGTGATGTCAAAAAAATTATGTTCAGATAGGTTTATCCTTTCTTACCACCACAAAGAAGAATGGGGAGGGGGGAACAAAGCAAACAAACCCCCCCCCCCCCCCAAACAACAAAAAGACTACAAGCTTAATAAAAAGTGGTTTTACTCATTACCCAAACTGGTAATGGAAGCATGAATTCCTTTCTTTTCTAGATTAAGTGAAATAAGGAAGCTTTAGCGCAAAACAGGAGACTTATTTCCCCCCACCCCACTAATTTAAATCAACAACCAACGCTAAATTTAAGGTTTATGCAGTACACCAGGGAATTTTTCCACTTCTGTCCTTACCTTCCCCTCAGCTGGTAATACAGCAGAAGCAGAAAGGAGAGGGCAATTTAAAGGACACTGCCTCTTTTGAAAGCCAATCAAAACCTTACAGAAAGTAGGAGTTGTCCCCCACAAGAGAGAAAAAAAAAAGAAAGTGTGCACTTGCCAGAGCAGCAGCAGCCAGGGATATCACATCGTTCACATTTGTTTAATTTTGAAATGTCTGTAACTTTGTGATAGGCAGGAAACTGAAGCTTTGCAACCAGCTCCTTTAACTAACAGAAGCATACAATCTGGGGTTATCTCTGAAGGACAGGTTTTAAACTAATTGTTTTCAGTGCAAAGGATTAGTATAAAGCAAACACATGTTCAAATGTAAAGCAATAATGTCCCTTGGACACCATAAAACGTGTAAGTTTTATAAGCAGACTGAAGAGGGGGGAAGGGGGGAGAAACAGCTTCAGAATTGACTGACATTTAGTAAATTAACAGTCAGCTGCTATTCCTTTGTGAGAGTTCACAAGTAAGTGTTATATAAAACACAAACACCTGTCGATCATATAAAAGATAATACCTGTTTCTAGAAGCTAGTAGTTTCTTACATATTAGCTATTAATAGAACATTATAGCGATAAGAAAGATAAGGACCTCAGGAGTTTGATCTGGAAAATCCCACAACATTAAGTTTCAGAGAAAACAGAGAAGAGAAAATTCAGCACCAAAAACAAAATTTCCAACAAAATTTCTGGGGGCTGCACAGCCGCCGAGCTGCCACAGGACATTCCTACACAGAGCTAACCAAAGAAGTCTAAAATTGTCTCTTTTAAGGACAGTTACGATAGTCTCTAGGATACAGGATCTTGCAGATTACTAATTCCAGGTATTTTCAAAACCGCTGGCAACGTCACAAGCAGGGTCTAAACCAATGCAGCGAACTCCAAGCCACTGTTCTCAACTCACACTTGTCTCCAAAACGCATGGCCTTTCTGCTTCAGGCCTGAAGAAGGGCTTGTGCATATGAAAGCTCATCTATTTTTTCCAACTGCATGAAGAAGAGCTCAAGAGTGGAAAGCAACTGCCAGCCTCAGGCATCCAGAAGACAAAGCACGCATCACCTGCCCACCCCACAGCAAAGCCTTACTCAGTGGCAGCCAGCGCCACCCCTGGAAAGTCCATCAGATGACCACAGTTGAGGTCACTCAAGCAGCAACACCTAGGGGATACACTCTTAGCTCAAATAACAGTGCTTAACGAAGAGGCAGAAAGACTCAAATCGCTCAAGTCCCCCGTTGATAACTAAGGGGGCACCTGGACCCTCCTTGTGCTCCCCGGCACGGTGGACGCCAGGGTGGAGAGGAGGGGCGGGGGGGCTGCAGCGCGG